CATTAATGAAGACAAGGAAAAGACGTGGGTCTAGCACTGATCCTTGTGGAACCCCACGGTTGACATATATCGATTGTTCAAATAGTTGTTTGGCAGATCTCAAGTTTCTATATCGATTGTGAATAGTTCAATCGACATCATTCTGTCATATCCGATTAATTTTAAGGAAAACGTGTCGGGGTAGTCAGCTTCCATGCTAACCGGGGGATGCCACATGCCTTCGTACGTTGGATGGGTGAATTCGTATCTGAAAAATCAGTGCTATCGATGTGGTTTCGTGGCTCAGCTGATAGAGAATGCACGTTAACGCATAAGCGGTGTACATGCGTGGGTTGGAATCCCACCGAGGCTACTGAACTTTTCACAATCGACATACAAACGTCAAATCTGGCAAACAACTATGTGAACAATAAAGACCCACTGCGTTGATTTTATCTTCCAATGATTGTTGTGTCATGGGGTGCCACCATGCACTGTACCCTTGGGTTGTTGAGTCGGTTTCGGGATGTGACTTAATGGAATGGCCTGGGATCTGAATTACCGTTTTCCATCACCGGCGTTGTGATTTTCAATTCACCGTTTCTTCGGTGGATGTCAGTAACTTTTAATATTTATGTGTAACCCTTGTTATTCACTTTACAATCGTAATTCCAGTATATTCTGAAAAATAGGTACCTTGAATTTGAATATTTGCTTATCCTGTTCGTCGCAGGAAGGTTTGAGGAAGCAGGAACTGGTTGCGATACATGGTTAACGAGCCTCGAGGTATCAAGTACATCCACCGTTCTTCCCATAAATGATAGAACTAAGTAGAGCTGCTGGTTAAACCAAATAGCGAATGGAGAGAATCACTGCATAAACCCGACAATAGTAGCACCACCCATTCACGTGTCTGGCAAAACACTAAAGGAGGATTGCATAATAAGGTTTATTCCTGGAGACAGGACTCGTCGGTATAAGTAGCAGATTCAAACCACCAGGGTGGAACATGAATGCAAGACTGATCACAATCGTCAATGGAAAACAAATAATAAAGGAGGGAAGTAGCAAGTGTAGATAATAGGGTTTTTTGCCGAAATGGACTATCAATGTTGGACAGAAACAGCCACACCGTCCCTAAGAAACAAAATACTGTGAGTGCAGAGACCATAATAGTAGAGACAACAGACGAAGGAGAACAAATTGAAAACAACAGACGGTATTCATTAAGTGTGGTAGCGAAAACGGAATCAAAAGTTAGCTACTATTATGCAATAAAGGTCCGTCCCAAACCGTCCGATAGCGGAAAGGAATGGCGTGAAGTGATTGGAGATCCGGATTGCGAAGCGTTCGTGCCGCACGCATCCAATCAGTAGCAGGCAAGTAGGCGATCATTTTCCACGCAGTTCGCCTGCGCGACCTTCTTGGGACTGCGCCGAGTCCAACTGTTTGCCCAAGTATTCCCTGACAGTAAGAAAGACAAACACAATTGTGTACGTGCGTATGTGCGACGTGGGGGGAGGGGGGTAATGTATCAACAGTGGGGTCACTCAAGCGCATTGTTTTCTAATTATTTTTTTATTACACACCGGTTTGATGGACAGCAGACGGGGTGGAACCCCATAGTCAAGAAGACCTGCTGTTCAATGATGGTAAGCGGCAACCTAACCCCGGGAGAGGAAGAAACGGCACAATCCCTTACTTTGCACCATACGTAACTTCAACCAATGCAGTAACAAGCAAAATGAGTGAGTGTACTATTTCGAGTCGGACAGTTTTTTGGTCTGAAAAAATAAAACGATTCACAAAAGAGAACTAACGCATGATCGTACAGAAGAAACTGAAGTATTCTTGTTATCGAGTTGAGTAAAATGAGCGAAATCGGTTGTCCAAACATGCTGTGGAAATCCATCATGTTCAAAAGAAACCTGGTTTATCGATATTTACACATCAAACTGTATAATCTAACGATCTAGTGAGAAGTACCGAAAAGGTAGACTTCTTCAGGTCAATTTGAATAATGTATTTGTATTTCACTAGCGTCTGAATTCAGACTGTGCGCCAAACAAATCATGCTACAATAATCTTTATACAAAGAAAAAAGTGCATGATTTTCACGATACCGCTACGTTGCCCAGGCCAAAACAAGTGATTTTTTAAGGGAGTTCACAACCGGAGCCTTTTGCTAACCAAAGCCTGACGCGGAAGACAAGTATGCACCCCGAAAGATGAATAGTTAGCAGTATTTTCATAACTATTCAACGGTACCATGTTGATTTAAAGTTAACAATGAACTATGAAAGTGAATACACACATACCTTGTTCCACTGAAACAGACAAAATACACTTCCAATGCGTTTGTGTTTGGTGTCAGAAACGAGCCTGCTTCCTCCCTATCCTTGTCGAATAAAACTCTTAGCTTAGATCATTTGCAAAACTTGTGTGTATGTAATTCAGATATTCTTCTGTTATTTTATCCGCGTGGAGTTGTCAGGTTTGAATATGGCACAGAGATACCCCAGTAACGCCATTTGGGGCACATCAAACTGAGGAAGATCTGATGCGCAACGTCACAGCCGAAGACTGGATGTCATGAACAGGGTCAAACAAAGTTCACAGTTTTAGTTAGACAGTTTGTACATTTCAGAAGCACTATTGATGAAAAAAACGCACCATGACAGAGGAATGGTATTCTTTTGCTTACCAATTGTGCACNATTCTTTTGCTTACCAATTGTGCACCATTATCTTTTGCAACGAGACCAGAGCATTGTATCGCACGTTTGGATCACCATGTTGTAACAATGCCATTACTCTTTGTTTGCCACCAAGATTTTCAATTACTCTACATGAGAAGGAGAGGATAAACGCAATGACAGGCTTCAGATTGAGGGGATATTTATTTGATCACAGGCATTATGAAACAAGTATAAGAAGTGTGACGAACCGAACAGATTAGATAATGAATCGGTAATGAAAAGCACTGGCAGAGGATCAGCGAGGCGAATACAACCACCTACATCACTTTGGTATGGAAAACGAACAGCTGTCCGGTACAATGACAAAACGCAATTTATGATGCTCTAAAGAAAACCGTATGTTCAGTTGAACGAAATATGGAGACTTTTCTTACCCGTTGGATAGGTATCTACCGAAAGGCACAATAATCGAAGAATTCCGAGAAACGGGAGTAAAGAGATGTATCAAGTGTCATAACCGCGGTTTGTTTGGAATCATCTTTTCGGATTGTGAGTTGTGCGTGGCTGTCACAGGTGAGTGTGATCGAACTTTTGCTTAAGTAATGATCTGCATGCGCGTCTTTGGTCGGTAAAAATCAGCGCTGTTCTTACATTTGCCTTCAGAGTACATTCCACTGTACACAGGGTACGTCATCCAAGCCTGAAGACCGTGGTTATAACATGCTCGTAACAGCGTTCACTACGGATTGCCCCAAAGATGATTAAGGGATTGCATCACTGAGATCAAATTACACTCATTACCGACGAATTCGAAGAGACTTGATTCAGGAGTATCAAATATTACAGAACCCAAACGATCCATGTCGTCCGCTACTCGTTTGTAGCCCAAAACGCATCTCAGAGGACATCATTTCAAGTGAGTGCTTCCAGTACCAGTACCGGCTTCCATCTTTTGCACCAGTGTGCCACACAATGGAATGCTCTCCCATTTCACGTTTGTATATCAACTGTTGAATCTTTCAAGCGGAGAATTGAAAAATCCTGAGACCTTACAAAAAAGCAAATTAGTGAAAGAATGCATCGTGTTATCTCCATACCCGGGACTACATGTAACATTCGTCACTTTTGTGGAGAAAGGATTCGATTGTGTAAATATCCTATGGAGGAAGAGAAGCATGAACCTCTAAGTAAGTCCTTTGGTAAAACTTTGGATGTGAACTTAGAGTGTCAACAGGTAACATTTGTGTGAACTATGCCCACTTTTCCAATTATTCACAGCAAAACTGTCGAGAAAAGAGTGACAAAATCAACCCACCAGAACCGGGTGTTGGCACCACCTAGCCCATGAAACCTAATCCAGGTGACATTCACAACCGTGAATAAATAAGCCCAGAATTTCGCATATCTGAATAAATACTTTTGTACATGGTACTGCGATACCGCATTTCACAGGGAGTACGACCTATGATTTGGAACCTCTAAAATACGATTTCGGGTGCATTTTGTTATCTCCTTTGGTTCTCAAAAGTACAACGATGATAAGCTACGTACTCCACTGGAATCCTACTCAAAAGTTGTCAAGTGTCAAGGGTGATACAGTTGACAACTACAGATAATCTTATTTCTGAATGATCTAAGTTTGTTTTGACAGTAAGCCTGCTATGAGGTAGGCGGTTCCTGGTGTGTCCCAAACAACAGAGAATTGAGATGGAAGTGAACATTGATAAATATGAACAATACAATCTTCCAGAGTAGACGGAACAATATGGCGGAAAATCACACCAGTTGTGAGAACAATCATTTTGGGAAAACAAAAGCTTACGGGAAGTAGAAGTAAGTTATTCAATAACAAAAATGTGTATACAAAGTTGAGTGAAGAAATTCGAGTTCAACCAAAAAGAATAGGGCGACTAAAGCAGAGAGAGAAGCGGAAGTGACTTATATTCAGATGGAGTTGTGAGTGAGCGTATGTAATGTGGGGTTGCGTTCCGAAGCCATTCAAAGACGCTTAAATCAGTCTAACACGATGAGACACCACCTTGTTATAATTCATAAACGCGGTGCTGGTCGAGGATACTCATTTATCGAGGATTACAGTTGGGAGGTCAGTAATTTTGCATGCATAACACAAAAGCCTAATCAGAAATGTGCCATCGCAATTCTTTCCGACACACAGCGTAATGCATAGATCAGTCAGTAGTTATTCTTCCAAACATATTACTTGGCCCTTGATGGTCTTTTCGAAACACGTATGCAGGACCGTACTTCAACCATTTCTCTGTGTTCTCTTGACGCAACATCATCCTCATGATTCACCCTTCGTGTGTCAGGCGATTTGGCATCCGAAACTCGCAGTGTTGCTGGTGTCGGGATTGCGCTAAGTGCCAAGGCTGAACACTCGCTTCCTGACTGGATTCCAGTCAGTTACCGACTGCGCGCTGTGCATCTCAACGGTTCAGAACGGATGGATAGCTACAGAACGAAGCGTCAGTGCTTATTAGTTGTACCGTGCATGCACCGACCGATTGCAGTACACCTGAAATGAAGGGTGAAATTATCAAGGAACTTTTTCAACTACTCCAAAGTGTTCGATCAACGGACATCGTGGTGGTCACCGGAGATTGCAATGTTCAAGTGAGATCCCTGGACAAATCAGAAAGGTACAGTAGAGCGCTCCGAACTCTGGTGCTACCTTTCCCCGAAGGATGTGCCCGAGAAGTTTATTTCAATAATATGATTATTTTACCCGAGCTTACGGCGCTTTTTCAAACGAGTTTACCACAGAAACACGTCTTGATAACAATTGTTTTGTCTCTCCTTTTCTATTTCACTTCATTTTTGATTTGGTTATGGAAACAGCCAAATCCTCGTGCAAGGATAGTGGTATCGGGCTACTGCCCGATGATCTTGTGTATGCTGACGACATCTTACTGCTAAGTTAAGATTGAAGCTTTTCTGGATATCTTGAGTGCCAGTGTGACTATGTTCGGCATACGTTTTGCACCTTCAAATTGTAAGATATTGCTACGGGATTGGGTTGGTCCAGCACTCAGTCTCACTCTTATTGGGGAAGTAGTAGAGAGAGCGGACAAGTTTTTATTTGGTCCGCCGCATCTCACCCGGTGGCCGCACCACGAATGAAGTGTCAGCTGGCATACACAATGCGTGCTGACACTTCATCCGAATACTTTGGTATGGTCGGGGTGGGCGTCTTGGGTTGTGGCTGGTCAACCTTCCCTTGCACCTGATGCTTGTCAAAGCAAGTAGCAAGTGGAAAAATCCAACGGTGGTCGAAATAAGACCCGATATGAGGGTATGAAAGTCTTAACTAGGAGACTCCGTAATATAGGTCGTGTTAGGCTCCCTGGATGGGGACCGGTGGTTAAAGATATTAAGTGATATGGCTGAGTGTCGTAAACAGTGGCGTCCGCGCATTTTCTCAATTTCTTTGCAACCTTAGCCTACTGAAACTCACCATTTTCTCTTCTACTCGACTTCAACATTCCTGTTTTTCCATTGTTTCGAAAATTAAAATTGAAATTTTTATCATGGGTAAATTACAAAGCTGATGCTTACTGAATACCATAGGGTCTGTACACACTGGGTTCGGTTGGTAGTAAAACTGAATAGCAAATTCTGACGTTCACTCACGGGTACTGAAAATTTAGGTGGTTCAAGGCTTCATCCAGTCGTGACTTGAATGAATCGATGTTTGGTGCACAAACAATTTGAGGTGGAAGAGAGTTCCAGGTGTTACGAACTCTGAGGCTGAAAGAATGATGCCTGCAGTCGAGACGGCTCTTTTGGAGCAGAAGTTTAAACGAATGACCTCGACGGTGATCAATCCTGGATAGCGTCGCTAGAGTACTACACGGGTGGTTAGGTTGATGTAGTATTTGATAAACGAGGATCATGTCTCCCTGTATTCGACGGTATTCAGACGAATAGAGTCCGAGAATTCGCAGTCTTTCGCCATAGGTCTTAGATTGTAACCCTTTGACCAATTTTGTTGCTGTGCTCTGTGGACGTTCAAGTGTCTTTTGGCTGCGAATCAGCCATGGATTCCAAGCCTGTATAGCATACTCGGTGTGTGGCCTAATGTATGCTAATAATAAACGGGGCAATAGGTCTGTTTTGAATGATCCAAAAGCACGTTTTAGCAATCCAACATGTTTTATAACCTTTGAAGACGCTCTTGCGCAATGCGTGGAACATCCTGAATCCTCACGAACGATAACTCTCAAGTCCTTTTCGTTTGGAGTGCGCGGCAATGGCTGAGTTCCAAGTATGGATAGCGACCCCTGTGGCACAGCGATACAACCTTGCATTTCTCAACCTTGAATTCGATGTCATTAATGATGGACAATCGATAAACTGTGTCGAGAGTTTCCTGCAAGATATTTTACCGTCCTCCATGTTTTGGCGTCGTCAGCGACTAATAATGCCTTTTCTCCAAGGATATCTGGTAGGTTGTTTATGAATGCTAGGAAAAGGTACGGACCGAGTACGGATTCTTGTGGAACTCCGCGGACAGCCTCAATCGGTTCCGACAGAGAACCATTAACTCGAACCGATACAGTACGAAAGAAGAAATTCCCCAATCCAGTCCAGTAGCAGTCCTCGGACACCATAGTTATGGAGATTTCGTAGCAATATATGGTGGTTAACCCTGTCAAAAGATTTAGAGAAGTCTAAGTAGACTACATTTATTGCCTCTCCTCCGTCGACTGATCTTGTCCATTCATCTCGTGCAAGTAGCAGGTTTGTGGTGCACGAGCGTTTCCTTCGAAACCCGTGTTGGGCCGGCGAAAGTACGTTATGCTTTTTGAAATGATCCACTAGAGAATCAGCAACAATCGATTCCATTACTTTTGACAGAACAGGAAGAAGTGTAACTGAACGGTAGTTTGAAGAATCACTTCTGCAGCCACCTTTGTAAATAAGCGAAATGACGCCGTGCTTCCAGGATTGAGGGATCTTCGTCTTGTCAAACATTCTTTGGTATAAATGGGCAATTATTTCATGCATGTAATTTGCCAAAGACGTCAGGGTTTGTGGCCGGATGTTGTTTCCCCTGGAGATGAATTCCGGCGCAGCGCCAATAGTTTGTTTTTAACCGTTTCAGGTTTGAACGTGACGGTGGTCAGTTGGGGGTGTGGGACACTTGATAGAAGGTGTGGAAGTTGTAATCCGCCTTTGTTACCTGCAGTGAACTCTTCGTAGAACTGGACTTTTAGGAATTC